AATGAACGTTTTATTTTTCCATTATGGTGTTAATTGTGTTTTATATGAAATAAGATATTTTACAAAAAATGTATATTATAATAATAAATTAGTTTTATTTAGCAGCAATATATACCTTCAGTCTGACTAGACATTATAACCACAATAATGAAAAAATACTTTTTATTTGATTAGTTTATTTACTAAAATCTGTTTGGAAAAAATTTCTTCCAATTATATTTTTTGTTATAAATTTTAATAACCCAATTACATTTTTTTAATTATTATAATCATTATTTCACTCACAATTTCACTCTTTGTCTAATTTATTCCCATTTGAAATTCTAAAATATTTATTTTAAATCCATTACATGTGGTAAATCTATTTGATTGTAATATGTTTTATTGTCAACTGTCCACACCGACACACTTATTTTTTGTATCGGTATCTCCGACTAGGTCAAATATAATTTGACTAAGCCTCCGAGAAAGAAAATATATGACGATTTCATCTGAATACAAAGTGATCAATTCTAGATGCAAATTTTCTTTTTCATACGTCCTTCTGTATATTAAAATGGATAACTCAGCAGCCACATCAACATACGTTACATAATATCATCCAGCATTCTAAATCACAAGACGAAAAATCTCGGGAATTTCTCAAGAGAAACTTCGTTCCCTTCTGCCTACCAAAGAGGGACCTCTCCAGCAAAATCGACTTGAAATTCTTCGCGTTATCCACAAGCACCTTCTCGAGAGGATTTCTGGGAAAACGGCAATTTTCCAGCCTCTCTCTCTCTCAGATGGGATTCCGATTCTCAGAAAGCGGCCGATGTTTGTAAAGGACCCGACGCCTCTGTGACTCCACAGCTTCATTTGATTCGACGCTGGTGATATTGGTTTTCTGATTCTCTCTGCCCCGTGAGATAAGGCAGCAAGGGCATCGAAAATGTGTGGCCGAAAATAAACATCTTTCGCACCACCAGTTGAAAACATCTAATCTTCGGTTGGTGTAAATATCACATTAATTAAGGGAAGATGAAATCTGTTTCTCATAGTTAATACCCCTAGTGCGTTAGAAATTGCCGATAAATCGCTTCGCGAGTCGGGAATTTATCTGAGTTCCTTTAGTAAAAGTAAACATAAAAGTAATATATGGAGGATATGAATACGATCACTGTTACAAAAGTGCAAATTAGAAATATAGTAACAGATGAAATTATATGTGAATCTGACATTAGACAAGGGAATTCGTTAAGCCCTCTATTTTTAATTTAATTACGGACAAGCTTATTAACAATGTAAAAAAACTATCAGGATATAGAATGGGTAGTGAGATAATATCTATATTGTGTTATGCGAATGATGCAGTGTCATTGGCAGATTCAGGAGACAACTTGCAAAGACTCTTCCAAAAATTTTCGAAAAGTTCAGAATATTTTAATATGGTCATCTTAACTCATAACCAAAATCAACGGTGATCTCAAAAGAGCCTACATGACGTAGACTGATGATAAAGAATAAAATAATAGAGCAAGAAATGAAATCCACCTTCATAGAGTTAAAATTTGTAGTACACGGAATACGTATAATGAAATTAAACATCAAGTAATGAAAGGAGCCGGAATGTCAGGGTATTTCAAAGATGTGAAATGGAGAAACAAATATCTTAATGTAGAAAGCAAAGTAAAAATTTACAAAACTATGGTTGAGACCCAGTAATAACATATGGAGCACAAACAAAAACCGATAATTGAAGAACTAAGAAGACTCTACTTAGAACATCAGAGTTGAGAACATTAAGAAACATTAAGAACGTTAAGAAACATTAATATTGGGTGTAGCAAAGTGGGATAGACTGAGAAACCAAGATATAAGAAATGAATGTGTCTTTACTGATATAGTAAAATTTACAATAACAAGAAGAACAGAATGGAATGAGCACGTTGGACAGCAAAAAAATAATCAAGATTGCGAGAGATTCAAAACCTGTAGGAAAACGCGACTCGGACAGACTGAAGAAAAGGTGACTCGAGAGTTAGATTTCCACATCTTCTGAATTATCCTGATGGGGAAGTGAGAAGAAAAACAGGCGTTAATCTTTATAAAAGAAGCAAAGAAATTAAGGCAAACTCTCTCGACGTAAATATATTGGGTAATTCTCTCTAAACTGCAAAAATTAAGGCTACATTATTCTTTACATTTAGGATACGATTACAGGACCCAGCAGAGCACTACTTACAATTAAACGCGATTATGGTTCTTCCATCAGCTAGTACAAAGAAGCTGGAACTAGAAGGGTTTAAATAAATACACACTAAACATAGGGGAAAAGTAGTTTATTGCAATTTAAGGCTAAGTACAGTAATTACATCGCACGGTCGCCTCATTATTTCATATCTTAAGCAAACCGTTTTTTAACTTGAAGGAAGAAGTTATTCACTTGACTCATCATGAATAAACAACATCTTTTGAGCAATTGCGGATACATAATTGTAAAAGAAGTACTGCAATGAGGCGTAAAACTTTGCAAGAAAAATATGATTCGTGTTTAGCACATTTACATTACTACCAAAATTGGGGTGCAAACGTAAGATAGAAATAGAAAATGGAAATAAGATTTATTGAAATTTATAGAGAAGTACAGTAATTACTTCACAAACTCCCCTCTCTATATCATATCGTAAGCACAATCATTTTCATCCTATAGAAACGTTATTTGGAGTTAATAAGAACATTGTTTATATCATGAATGAACAACAACAACTGAGAAAGTAAGAATTCATAAAATCACGTGAAGAAAATCTTCAGTGACGCAATAGAATGTGCAGGAATAGTCTATTTTTTTGAATCTAAGAATAGAAAATGCAGTTGTTTGGGAAGCTCTCATCCCTTGTGCGTGCGGCCTCCTTCCAGTAGAGCAGGTCCTAGACAAAGTCGCAGTTGCTCGTTCAGGTTAAAACAGTTTGTTAAAATTAATTATCGAATGACGACAAATAACTTTCTTTCACGATTAGCACATTACATTAGTACGAAAATTGGAGAGCAAACGGAAGAAAAGAAATAGAAAATAGAAAAAAATATATTTTAATTTAAAGTGAAGTATACTAATTACATTGCAAACTCCCCTGCACTATTTTACATCGTAAGCACAATCATTTCAATTTTACAGAAAGGTTATTTCAAGTACGTTCCATTTCCCTTCGAAAACATTGAAATGTATACGCACTTCCAAACGACTTTACAATCATAATTTTATCGTAATATTTTCAAAAATAAAATATTTTCCGTACATCCCGATGTATATTAAAACTTCTATGATTTTCTTAACAATTCCAAACCCAAATTCGCGCAGGTACATCACGTTTCATAGAAATCTTTGTCATACACTTAGGAACGTCTGCGTCCCACATATGGTTCAGCAACGTACTAAAACCATTGACGTGAACCACCAACGTTTTGTGAACCAAATAAGACTCGCAGGACACTGAACGAGTTAATAAAAACATTCGAATTATCATGAATCGACAAACACATAAAAGCATGTAAAATAATGACTGGAATGAAGCGATAAAACTGACAAGCAAATTCTGAACTTTTGAATGTAAGGGTAGATTTGTGGTTGCGTAGGCTTCCGCGGCCGGAGTTTATGTGGTCTAGGCTATCCGGGACGAGCCGTGTGAATGTCGTGGTGGCTAACGTTTCGGCCAGCGTGTTGTGGCCTCCTCCTTGAGCAGTACGCTCTGAAGAAGGCCACAATTCGCTGGCTGAAACGTAGCCACCATGGCATTGACGCGGCTCGTCTCGGATAGCCTAGACAACAAGGACAGAGTTGGCTCGGAAGCGCTCACGCCTTGCGCCCGCGCTGCTCCAACCCGCGCGCGGCCTCCTTCCAGTCCGCGGCGGCGCGCGGGCAGCTGATGGCCGCGCAGAAGCTGACGAGCGCGCGGCCGCGAGCGATGCTTCCGCACGAGCAGTCGGCCACGTCCACGGTGGCGTTGACGCGGCGGTCGCCCAGAGCCCAGCGCAGGCCGCCCAGCGCGCGCAGGCGCGGCTCCTTGCCCAGGACGAGCGCGCGCTTCCGCGAGCCGTCGACCAGCCAGCTGCGCACCTCGGGCTCGCGCGCCTCCGTCACGGCGTTGCGCTCCAGGAAGCAGCCCTCCACCTGCGGCCACGACGCGGAGAACGCCGGCACCTCCTTCAGCAGGTTGCCTGGCGGCAGAGGGCGGCGCTTCACTCAACGGCGAAGGCGGAAAATGATGCGCGGACGTAAGACGGAATATAATATATAATTTACTTATATTAAAAATAATATTATAAATATTATATACTATATATTATGTATTATATATTATATTATATTTTAGATATTATATATATAAGATATTAAAAATAATGTATCTAAAATAAATAATGTGCACTGATGATAAAGAATAGAATTAGAGAGCAAGAAATAACATTCACTTTCATAGAGTTGAAATTTGAAGCACACGGAATACGTATAATAAAGTTAAACATCAAGTAATGAAAGGAGACGGAATATCAGGGTAATTGAGAGATGTGAAATGGAGAAACAAATATCTTAATGAAGAACCCAGCCCGAAATCGCATCATGGAATGCATCATGGCTAACGTGAGCCACCCGAGTGTCTACAGTAACAATAATACTAATAATAATAATAGTAATGATAATAATAATGAAAAAAGTAAAAATAATATTTTCCAATAAGAATTAATAATTAATTCGTGATTTATAATTTGAATATGACTCTTGCAAGGGCAGTAGAACAAACACTGATGACTGTTAATGACGATGCTGTCAATCATTGTTGGATAATAGCGCAAATGTGAGGGAGGACAACTTTTAACAGTCGCGTTCCTTGAAATGAAATACGTCATCTGTCGGGGAAATGTGAAGGGAGGGGTGGTCTTTGAACGCCTCCTGAAGTAATCTCCGCCCTCTAAAATTATTTCAGTCGTCTAGCAACTATCTGCCTTAGGTGCGCTTGAAACATATGCTATGCCGCAGCCGACGTACGTGTGAGGTCGAGGCGCTTGATTTTCTGCGGTCCTGCTAGATCGGCGCCAGAGATCGCGGTGAGGCGGTTGGACGACAGGTCGAGAATCTCGACAGTCTTAACGCCTCGCAAAAGCCCCGCCGGCACGGTCGAGAGCTTGTTCGCTCCGAGATCCAGCATCCCAAGGGTTTCGATTCCTTCCAGCAGGCCGGCAGGCAACGTAGTTAATTTATTATCGTTCAGACCTACAAATTTCAGAGACGGCAGGCCTGAAAATACTCCGTGCGGAAGAGTTTCCAGCTGGTTCGAAGGCAGTCCGACACCTTCCAGATTCTTCAATCCTGCGAATATTCCCGCAGGAAGAGATGTAAATTGGTTTCGGTTGAGAATAATGTACTTTAGCTTCTCCAACCCGGCGAAGATCCCCTGAGGCAGCTGAGAAAGCTTGTTTTTGTCTAAGGAAATGACCTCGACGTTCTTCATCCCAGTGAAGACGTCTGCCGGGAGGGAATCGATCTGGTTGCCATCTAGATGAAGCTGCTCCAGTTCCTTTAGGGAGGTGCAGAGGCGCGGGGGAAGTGTTGTCAGCTGGTTGTTGGACAGAAACAGGAACTCCAGGTTGTGCACGTCGTAGAAGGCATCTGCGTTGACGCGGGAAATGCTTGCGTTCGCCAGGTTCAGTCGCCGCAGTCTTGTGAGGCCGGCCAGGGCTCCGCGGTGCAGCGGGCCCAACTTGTTGTACGACAGGTCCAGGCGCTCCAACTTATGGCAGCCATTCAGTGGGCCCTGCACCTGATATTAATAAGGTATTTATGAATGGTAAGATTGTAACATACCGTTGCCAACGTTACATCATAAAATTAGATATTTCCTAATAAGAGAATTGGTACTCGCTCCATCAGATCACTCAAATGCTAACAACTGAAGTGGCATTTGTCCTTTCAAATATGATAAATGTTTCTCAAACATGAAGGTCTTGAGGGTTCAGATATCCTTTTTGATTTTTTTCACCGATAATAAAGTGTGTGTATATCTATAATATATATATATATATATATATATATATATCATAATATATACTTAATATATATAATAGGAAAAAGTATGTATACTTTAACAGAAATAAAACTTTTTCGTCGTGCATAATTATTTTTAAATGTCGCTAAAACTAGAGTCCGTCGTTCGTACATATTTGACAGTTTAAACGAATTGAAACCCTGATTACGTGCTTATTCTACTCGGAAGTATGCTCACGGAGTACTCGAGTCACTCCAGCAATGTTTCGAAGCACACTGTAGTTCTAGATATCTGTAGACGGAGCAGATGAGGAAGAAAGTAAGAGGTGAAAGGAAAATGAAATCATAAGACTACCTGCAGGCTAGTTGCGCTCGGTGCTGAGAAATGGAATGAGCAAATGAGAGAGAAATACAGGTGAAAAGACGAAATCGCAAAGGCTGAAGCCGGGCCGATGAAACCGAAAGAAAGGGATAAGCAGGTGTACCTCCGTGCTACGCAGCTGGTTGCGGTCGGCGCTGAGGGAGAGCAGCTGGCAGGGCGCGGGCAGGAAGCCCAGCGTGTGGAGTCGGTTGCCGCTCACGGCCAGCGTCCGCAGGGCGCCGAAGGGCCGGAGCTCGGTGTCGGCGTGCGCGATGCGGTTGAAGGACACGTCCAGCGTGTGCGTGCGGTTGCTGAGGAAGACGGGGCGGGGCAGCGCCGTCAGCATATTGCGCGACAGATTCACGTCCACGATGAACGGGTCCAAGATGACCGGGTCCGCGAAACGGTTGTTGGACAGGTCCGCCTGCAAAGAAATCAACCAAATTATATCAATTTTTAATAAAAATGGTACATTTAAGTAGTTAATTAATACATTTTAATCCAGTAATTTTCCAAAAGTGACCATCTTAACGTTTGCTCTGTAAATAAAAGAATGGGTTCTCCTTAGTGTGCAATACGCACACCCACAGCAACTAGTCATGTTTTGGCGTTACAATTCCTATGAAATACCTTTATTACATCTGCGCTAGTTTGTGCCCCTAATTCACGCAGTAAACTGAAATTCACTTCTTCTCGATCTTAGATTAGCTACACAAGATATGTGATACTTGCAGATAACACTAAGACAACTTCGCTCTATACAACACCCGTATATAGTTACAGATGCTTCCTTAATCTGGCAAAATATTTGCAATTAAACACAATTTTAAACAGTGTGTTGAAAAGATTGAAAATGTAAGACATAAATTAAATTACCTCTTAAATTTAAAATAATTCTTTCAAGATCATATGCTTAAAGTTGACGCTAATCGATAGAATGATATTATTTCATTGAAAAAATTCTATAGGATTAGGCGTAAAAATAATTCACGGATGGAGATACCGAGATTTTGAAATAACATTATCTGCACCTGAAACCACTAACGTATATTTTTTTATCATATCGACATTTGGTTCATTTTTTAGCATTACTTAACTTCCCCGAAGGCTCCATCTTATCCTCCTCCCTCTCCTTTCCCCTCTCCTCTCCTCCTTCTCTTCCCATCCTTCTCTTCCCATCCTCCGTCTCCTCCTATCATCCTTCTCCCATCCTCTTTCTCCTCTCATCCCCCTTCTCCTCCCATCCTCCTTCTCCTTTCTTCCCCCATCCTCCTCTAGTCCTACCATCATCATCCTTCCCTTCTCCTCTTTCACTTTTTGTTTTTTCCTCTCCTCTTCCCACTTTCTTTTCTTCATAATTACCTCCTCCTCACGCCTTCTCCTCCCCCCCTCCTTTCTAATTTCCACTCCCTCTCCCCCACTCCTCTTTACTCGTCCTCCACTATTCCTTCCTCTCCATCATTCTTCCACTCCTTCTCCTCCCCTATTCCTCCTTCTCCTCTCCTACCTCTAACTTCTTCGCTTTCTCCTCCTTGTCCTCCTCCTCATCCTTCCCCATTCTCTCTCTCCCTCTTATCTTCGCCTACGAGAAAGCCAAAAGCCAACCTTGGTGGTGCGGCCGCTGCAAGTGTCGCTGGGGGTGAGCGCGCTGAGGCCGCGTCTGGAGCAGTCCAGCACCCAGTCCGCCTCCCGTCGGCGGCAGGAGCAGGGCGGTCGGGCCGTCTTGGCCGGCGCCGGCGACGCCCCCGCGACCACCGCCACACACAGGGCGGCCGCGCACGCGCACAACGGCCACGCCCATGCGCGCAGCGCTGCCATTGCTCGCCGCGCACACCCCTGCAACTAAGCCGGCCTTTTAGCGCAAGACAGTCGGCGATACGTTGGGTGATTATTATGAATAACACGAGAGTTGATTGATTCCGGGCGCGTCAACGGCTAAGGTCATTATTCCCGTAAGTGTAGTGTATGCATTATCGCGAGAGGAGGTTGCAATCTCCTCCTACTGGGTGGTGAGATTCGGCGCCAGCCAACACATCGGCTAGAGGAGTTTTCCCCAGCCAGGTATTTCCAGCTGGTCCTCGCTCCAGCCGGGACAAGCTCTTACGATCCCCACTGGTCTCCCGACACGTGTGATAGTGTGGTGCATACGAGTGTGAATAAAGAAAGAGATTAGATCTTAGAAGATGAAGAGGAAGCAACGATCACACGCGGTCTGTAGCCTGTTTATTAGGGAACTGCTGCAGCATTCGCCTGATGTTGATCGAAGAAGACGGAAAACTACCAATCGGAACAACCGGTGACTAGAATTCTCTCCCTGACAGCAGCGGCTGAATTCGAAGTAGCTGTGTAGCTAGGGTCAAAAAACCTATTGCTACTCAGTCGGGAACCCTATGACCTCCCTGTCATAGGCACTGCCGTGACGTAAAATCATGCCCTGAGCCACCTAAGGCGGTTTGCTCTTAAATGCGCGTAAGATGGTCTTGGTAAAAACTATTTGATACAAGAGCACCCACGCGCATCTTCACCACGCGCAAAACTGTTCAGTAATAATGAACCCAAGCCCAATTTGAAGTATAAGATTTGGTGATTGCATCACCTAGACGGAACTAGGATTAAGCTGGCAAGTGTGCCTACACTCATCTTGCTGTATGTAGGTGCAAATTGATTAATAATACCTTGCGATAGTGAACCTAAGTCCAACTCTGTATAAAATACATATACCTTCACTTAGACCCAACTTGTAAAAATGCATGCTGATAAGTGCACCGAAAAGAATACGGTGTAGGATAAATTCCAACAATTGCCGCTAGGCATAGCATCGGGTAAAATTGTTTTCTACAGTGGCACCTAAGCACATTAATTTGTTTTAAACTACAGAACAAATAAGCTTGGCTAATGTGTGTTCAAAGCCATGTCAATCAGATTATCGTCTGTATAAAATATGCGAAAACCCATACAAGCATTTCCAAATCTGTGCAGAATACTGCACGATAAATTCAAACACTTGCTTATCGGTGTAAAATAGAAGTCAATATCACAACCCGCAACATTTACCGACACAACCCATCTCGGTGCCAATAACTTGCAGAAAAATGTTGTTTTCTCACAATGATACAAAATTAAGACAGTTAAAACTAGGCCCATAACTGTGTGAAATTGTTACCGACAAATTCTACTAGGTCCGCGTCGATGCACTCACCCATAACTCCAACTTACCTTGACGTAAAATATTTCCACACAACTATTCATAGACCCACTCGTGTCAAATACTCGCATATAGGGCAATACGCCCCGGGGAAGGTTGCAGAAAGGCGACCGAAACGTCAGCACCTTCGTCATGGACGCGGCGTCAACCGAACAGCCAAGATAATACTCGCATATAACTGACAGTAGGTGCGTCTCGGAGTTAAAAACCCGCAGATTACTACGCTTATTAATGTGGTCGTTCACTTACCAGTACTGTCCCAGATGAAACGTCAAACTGCAGAATTTAAACTCCGATTCAATAGTGCTTGGCAAACAGATTTCGCCAGTTGAGACCGCGGCGCAAAGCTAAACAACGAACGCAGAGTAGAGCGCAGGTATACAGCACGTGCGGAATTACGCAGAGGCAGAGTTTGCGTCGAAGTTTCGAGTTGAGGGCGCCGCCGAGACTAATGTCTCCAGGTATTACGACAGCACGTGTCTCGCGCGTCGCCCGCCAACGAGGCGAGGCGCTGCGGGCGCGTCGGGAAGGAAGCTGCGGTCGTCGCAAGCCGGGATCCGCGCTCGACGATCCGGCAAACAACACGCGAACTTCCACGCGGGCGCGCCTGGAATTCCACTCTTGCCGGTCCCAGGAAGGAAGTTTTGGCTGGGTGTGGTTCTCTCAATTTTGGGTTTAGAGAAAAACAATTTTACAATGTATCTGCTTAGTCGTTATGACTACGTTATTACATGTAGGGTGATTGACGGCGAAAACACGGAGTAAACACACGCGCACTGTTAATCGCAACTAGTTCCATTTTTTTTATATACAGATAATACACAGTAGGCGGGAATACTTTCACTGCGTGAAGGAACCTCTGCTCCCATGGAAGTCTCTGGATTCGAAGTAAAAAGATCGATTATTTTGTGCTCCCAGTCGCGTCTATGGCTATAGTCATCATCCCCGTAAGTGTAGTGCATTTTGAATCACTACACTGATAGGTATCTTCCAGCTAGACGCTTCCGCAAACAGGACAATCTCGAGCTTCGAACATGTGAAGTAGTGTAGTGCATGTATTTGTATGTAAGGGGCGAGGATAGGACAAGGAAGAGGAATGGAAGATCGCGCATGTCATGTGACCGGTCTGTCAGGGCACAGCACCGGCATTTGCCTTTTTTATTAATAGCGCAAAGAACGCTTAAAAGAAGGATGAAGATCTCATATCGTTAAAATCCCTGATTATTGAAAATTGCATAAAGTCAATTTTTTCGACTTCTTGCAACTACAACATTGAGGATAATTTTTTTCTTGAATGAAATCTGTTGTTCAAAGACAGATCTTGAAATAATGTCAGGAACAATTTTTCAAAAATGTGAATACTTTATGCGGCAGATTTTGTGACATGTAGATAATGTTTAAATAAGGCTCCATTTTTTGAAAAGTATTTTTCTAGTATGTAGCAAAGAACCATCAAAAAACGATACTGGCCCTCTTTTTTGAATTTTAGGATTATTTTTAACTCTGTATTTTTGAAAATTGCAAAACTTTTGCAAAGGTTCAATACTGGCGAAAGATTTTTTTAAATGAAATTTATTCTAAACATTTGATCTTTAAATAAGGTTATATACTTTTTTAATCTAATAGTTTTCACTTAATTTCTGATTAAGATTCATGCAATATATAATTATTTTCCTCTATGAAGCCTTCTAGTTTTTCTATAATCTTCTTCTCATGAATAAAGTAAAGAACACTTAAAAATGGCGTAGGTTTAATTTTCATTGACCTCTCTGTATTTTCGAAAAATTAAAGTTGCAACACGTATGCGTTATTTTGGCTTTACTAGTTACCTTTACTAGTATGCATTACGTTGCGATAATGAGTCAGTTTTTTAAAATAATTTGATATAAATTTAATTTTTATTAATGGGTATGGAATTTCAAAATAGCAAATAAAAATTCTTTGACTTCCTCCTACAACTAAATCAATAATGATATTGACTTATTTTAGAAATAAATGTATTATTCTTCTATTAGATCATTCCTTCCCTTAAGTACCAAAATGTCGGCAATTACGGAAATAAATATTGGATTTTAGTTCCAGAACGTAAACTTGAAAAACTAACCACGATATTATTAATAAGTTCCTTTCAGTTCCAACGTAGGTCGTTAAACATGTAACCCAAGAAAAAAAGGTGCATTATCGTAAATTTTAAACATAATATCACGAAGTTTCTTCGCGACGACGATAAAAGTTCCTTTACAAATGAAAATATAACTTCATACTTTAAGCACACTTCATCACGCCCCCGCCGCATTTCCTTGCACCGCACGGGCCTTGACGTCTCCATTAGGATCCAGGGGCCGCGTGGTCTTTTTCGGCGTTAATGGAAGACTCAAAGACACAGTACGCCTCTCTCTCTCCCTCTCCCTCCCCCTCTCTCTCCCTCTCCCTCTCTCTCCCTCTCTCCCTCTCCTTCTCCTTCTCTCCCTCTCCCTCTCCCTCTCTCCCTCTCTTGAACATTTATATCAGAGAGAATTCAAAACGAACCATTTCACTGGGTAAATCCGAATTGTTGACATCTTCCGCAGGATCATGTTCTAGCTGGGATGTTCAGCGTCACTCCAGGCGAGATGAAAGCCATAATACGAGGAGGAGGTTGTAAGACTGTGGACATAGCAAGTCGAGACGCGGCGTTCGTTATACTCACGTTGAGACAAAACGTGAGCTACAGCAGCGCATACAACTTTGTATTACAGTCGAACCTCGGTATCTCGAAGTGTCTACGGAGAGAAATATTTCTTGGACTTATAAAATATTCGAGATATCATCATAAAACCTTGTTTGAAAAATAAGAACTGTTTTAAATAGGAAGGGTTAAATATTATCGTTAAATCATGAAATTGATGATAATTAGTAAAGAAATAAGTATTTATTTTCAGATACTTGAACATATCATTATTTTTCTTAAAGTTTAAAACAATTCTTCACGCCATGACGAATTTTGTTATTTAATTTTATTGAAAACATACTTGTAGCAATACGGAATTCCTCTGTAATAGATTTTTTCTCATCCCTTTCTCCATTTTACAAATTATTTTAAGTTTTTCATTTAAAGTTAATGATTTGGGCACATGTTTGTCCATCTCCGTGGTGTGTTGCACACGTTTTGGACAAAAGATACTGCTTCCCGAAGAGCTAGCACACGACTGCGCGGGGTTTGCTAAGCCGATCTTGGGAGCAACAAAAAATTTGCTTATCCACGCGTTCAGAGCATGCGGCAAGAGCGCAGAGAGGTGTTAGCTTTCGAAGTATGTGTTCCGTGATAGATGACTCGGAGGGTCTGCATTTTGAGACGTCAAAAAAAATTTCGT